ATTAAATGTCCCACTGTACATACAGATCTACTTGTTTTAAGGATTTAATTAGACAAAAATAAGTTTAAAAAAATGGAGATTAACAGTGATGATCAAAAGGGATAAGAAATACCTTCACCTCTTCAAGCCCTTTATAATCAATAACTCAGCCATAACTTGTAATGAGGGAAGTAGACATTGCTACACTTTAAAGGGTCTCAAACTGGAAAAGTTGTGAACCACTGCACTATTTCACCAGGGTAATCCATTATCAGTGCTGTACTTCAGGGAGTCCTAGAAAGTCATCTTGTTGAATTAAACTTTCACTGAACCTTCAATAAAAACACTCACTGCATACAAAGAGTTTCTTCTAAACATTTCTTGCTGCTGACCCAGTTCCTGCTTGTGTCAACAATTAAAAATAAAAACCTTTTGAGTTTTGGCATCAACTGTAAGTAAATATTTCAGTTTGTCTTACTACTACATGAGGCTTCTTGAATAGCAGTGCTGTCTTTGGCAGACAGAACAAAGCTAGGACTCAAATTCAAGCCAAACTAACAGTAAGCACAATCTTCCATGAAACAGTGATTCAGGAGTGTTTGCTGTGTGGTCAGGAGATTGAAACCCCTTCAGAGTGCTTCTCTTTCTGCAGAGCTGTGTCAGCATTACTGTGTGATATTTGGTTTGCCTCAGAAAAACACTCCCTGTAAATTATATTACTCTGGAGGGGAAAAAAGGCAACACAGGATCATTTCAAGTTTGATCACAGATCTTTTATTGTCAAACATGAGCATAACCAGAGTATCTGTACAAAACGACGGCTGCTCCAGATAACATGGCTCCCTCCCTGCGGTCAGGCCCAGCAGCTGGAGGTCCTGGCAGATGTTGGGATGGAGGGATGTTGGGATCCACGGACCCTCGTGTTTACAGGCCAAGCTTGGTCCTCCTCCAGTGTCTCCTCTTGGAGTTGTACCTTAAATTGAACACAGATGTGTCAGAAGACATTTTTCATGACAAAAAAAAAAAATATACAACAACAAACTGAAGTGGAGAAGAAAGTTTCAATGTTGCCTCGTCCCAGTGAAATAAAAGTTTTTATTATGCAGGTAAATTACTGCAGGCAGTTTCCCCTCAGTAATTTAGTGACATAATGTCATTTATTCTGTATGTGGCTCCTACATACAGATGTTGAACTGAAATCAGGGTTAAATAGTAAAGCTTGTCATTTTATATGAGCAGTGCTATTTACAAGCAGTGGTTTCCATGTTGATGATAAAACACCAAAGCAGACCCTGTAGTCTGTTAATTGTGCAATTAAGTCTCAACTCAGTGGCGAGTACTAAGATAAAAATGTAATGGAGCCATTAAGGAATCCACCTCTTAGTGAGGTCTAAATGTATTTTCAAGCCCAAGCTTTAGAGACTTTGTTTTCTCCTGGTCCTGAGGCCACTGAGGAATCCTCTTACTATCTAACTATCCCAGTCTTCTAATTCAAATAAACAAATTAAGGGCGGGTTCAGTTGGAACTATGCAAATTCTGTTGATCCTACTCCCAATTTCAGAAACCACAAACTAGCACCTCCTGTGTGACACACAGTCAATCACTAAGGTCACTGCACTAGTTAGATTATTTGATGAGTGTAAAATGTTTAATTACTTTGAACTCCCCCTCTTAAGAGACAATTAAGAGGCAACATCCCTTTCCATCGTTGTGGCAATTACGGGAATCATTCAGGGACAGTAATTTCATAAACAGCAAATACCAGGGAACTCCTTCAGGAAAGCACTTCAGTGAGTTCATCAGCTCTTTAGACAAACAGTGTACAGCTACAGAGCTTTCTGCATCACCAGCATGGTGAGCAGGAGTATGTGCTCTGTAGCAGAAAGATGCTCTCAGCAGGATTAATGACAGCACTCTACTGCAATGAAGTGCTGCAATTGCAGACCTGCTTTACATGACATGTAGTTCCTGCTTCTTTCCTGCATTAGTCAGCCAGTCTTACATCTCTGCACTTAATGCCGTAGAAAGTTGAGAGACAGCCTAACAAACACAGGACTGAAGTGCAGTTTAAAAACCCATTAAAAACTCTAGAGTAGACGATTGAACCATCCTCTACAACTTTCAGGACATTTCTCTTTTTAAATGTTTATTCAGTTTCACTGGTGAGGTTATTAAGTGAAATAAAGTAAATACAACAGACCATCACATAGTAGATTGTATATTTAAAACCTACCCTGTAGTAAATTCTACCCTTATGAAGGTTAAACTGTACAGTTTCCCCATTTTATAGTAATAAATGGTCATTTTGGATGCTGTAGTTTGTGGTGCTGTTGAATTATATTACATTATATTAAATGTGTTTGTAATACATGCCTGTACACAGGACCATAAAATTGAGTCAATATCTCCCTAAATATAGCCCCAATAGAAACAGAGCACATTAACCTTCATTAATGGTCTAGGATGTATTGCACTGTATTAGTTTTATTTAAGTGTACTTCATGAACTGGAAACAGTACACATGGGTGACTGCAAGCAAAAGTTAATGGAGTTGTAAATGTAAAATGCACAAACATTATTGTGTATGACAAATCCTGCAAAAGTATTGTGCATTTAGTTATTTTTAAATTGCTGATGCATAATACAGTGTGTTGCTGTCATGTCTCTATGTCCTATATAAGCACTTTACTCATTATTAAGAGGAGATGGTTCAAGCTACGTGTCCCTAACAAACTGGCAAATGTGAGTAAACAGGAGTCCAGATGTGCAGACTGCTTCCAGCACACAGACACAAACAGACAAACACAATAAACACAGAATGAACTCACCTGATCTTGTTTCCAGTCTTCATTCTGATCCACTGAGGAATGGGCCTGTTCTGTTTCTGCTTCTTGGCGAGGAAGCGCTTGATCCTGAAAGTCTTGTGGGACGACTATGAGCAACAACAACAAACCCACAATTAATAACCTGTCAACAAAACTTTAAATGTGTGTCTAGTTTGCAGCTTTTACAAAGTAATGGTGAGTAAGCTATCAGCTAACGCCTGTGAAGGAAGTTAACATGCGTAGCATCAGAGAGCGGGTACCGGGTAAAGCCTTTAAATGCTCATATTCAACACATTTAAACCACATACTGATTTGTGAAGCACCACTGACATATTTATTAATCACTTCATGTATTAAAGTTGGTTTACGGGCGCTACTAACGTGGATGTTTAAAGATTTTGTATTTACCATTTTGTCCACAGTCCTTTCCCGACTATGGCGGTGGTCGAAGAGAGAGAAGGAAGTGACGTCGCTGCTTTATCCAATAAGCGTCCAGCAAACAGCGACGCCACGTGGAGGCATGACGTATGTGCTTTCTGAGGCCTTTGTAAGGAAAATATAATAAAATATATTAAATTATAATAAAATATATTAAAATATACCACTATATACTAACACTACTATATAATAAAATATATAAAAATATGATAAAATTTAATAAAATATATAAAAATATGATAAAATTTAATAAAATATATAAAAATATAATAAAATATATTAAAATATAATACAATATATTAAAATATATTAAAATATAATAAAATATATTAAGATATACCACTATATACTACTATATACTAAAATATATTAAAATGTAATAAAATGTAATAAAATATATTAAAATATAATAAAATATATTAAAATATACCACTATATACTAACACTACTATATAATAAAATATATAAAAATATGATAAAATTTAATAAAATATATAAAAATATGATAAAATTTAATAAAATATATACAAATATAATAAAATATATTAAAATATAATAAAATATATTAAAATATATTAAAATATAATAAAATATATTAAGATATACCACTATATACTACTATATACTAAAATATATTAAAATGTAATAAAATGTAATAAAATATATTAAACTATATTAAAATATACCACTATATACTACTACATACTAACATATACTACTATATACTACTATATACTAAAATATATTAAAATGTAATAAAATATATTAAAATATATTAAGATATATTAAAATATATCACTAAATACTACTATATACTAACATATACTACTATATACTAAAATATGTTAAAATATATTAAAATGTAATAAAATATATTAAAATATACCACTACATACTAACACATACTACTATATACTAAAATATACTACTATATATTAAAATACACTAAAATATACATATTACAAAAATGAATCCATGGATGTGATTGGGTGGTTGGATTTCAGATCAGTAGGAAGGTGACAATAAAAGTAATATTGTAACTAATTACTTTTTGGGGGTGGTAACTGTAATATTATTGCTTAAATGTATTAGTAATTAGTTACACTACCAGTTTCTGGGGAAAGTAATATTATTTCTAGTAATGAGTAACTGCCCAACACTGATGCTTTTACTTATGACACATTAATGATGCCTCAGTAGTTATGAATGCAGGACATTTACTGGCAACGAGGTATTTTACATCATGTTATTATTACTTATTCATACGGACCTGAGTATTGCTTCCAGCACTGTCTGTAGTGACTGACTCTATCTGACTGTCCTATTTCCCAGAGATATTGGACATTAAAAACTGTCCCAAAATGTCTTAAGGGGGCCCAGAATCCCAGTTAGTTTTAATTTAATTTAATTTAATGCAAATTTATTAAGGAATATGCTCCAATTAAGTACAATATATACTATAGCAGGGTCTGTATTACAAAGTAATTATGTGAATATATCTTGTTGAGGGACCGCATATAGTACCCAAATGATAAATACTCCTAATAAAGTTAATAAAATCAGGAAGGGAAGAATTCATTCTCAGTCTAGTAACTTAATTCGTCATACCCAGCAGAGGTCGACAAAAACAGAACCACCACAGTGTTATGAAATGGCTCAAAAGCCCCTAACTGACTTTAACACTTAAATCAACAACCATCAATGAGTTCTTGTATATTAGGACTGATCAGCGTTTCACCACAAAGAAAGAAAGACACTTAAGCAAAGACTTTTTATTTCCAGTCAAAAGTGGCTACTGTATGTTTGCATCACCAGCAGTGATGTGTCCTCATGCTGTTTTCAGTTTAGTACATCACACATTAATATGTAAGAAGAGTTTCAGATTAGAAAAAGGGGGGGGGGAAGGCCACATGTTGATCACTCTGAGTGACGGCTGCATGCAGGCATGGCTGTCACATGGCAGTCTAGTCAGAAATGGCTATTTCTCCTTAGTCGCTGTATGAATGTAAGAACAAAACACGTGATCTCACACCAGGTAAGTAGAGACTAAGTCCTTCAGCATAACATTGTGCCCGTAAGACGACAACTGTTTTAGAATTACAGACGATGGAAACTTTTGGATTGTCTAGTTCTCCAGGCAGAGGACGATGTAATTTCCACCTGCACACCTCAAACTGAAAATTTCAACCTTACAACACAAATCTCATTCAAGACAGTGTAAAAACAATACGGATAAGCTTGGAAATGTTGACATGTTGAGTAATTGGGAAGTTGAACACCTGTGAAGTTATTTTTTTACCTCAAGAGTGCATTATGGATGAACATGTTTAAAGCCAATGTCTGCAGTGCATACACCACATATCATCAGAGAAACAATACTGAAATAAGGTCACTTTGAGTTCGTGTGGTCCGAGAAAGCTTTGGCTTCACCTAATGTGCCCTACAGCCAAACTCTTTCCAAAGGTTACTGTTACCTTTCCTAACAAATGAAACTAAAGAGGGTCACATTTAGGCACTAAGAGGCTCCACAATCACATCTCTGCCTCTGAGACTGGGAGAGCTGGATGCAGCCCCGCTTGAACTGCAGTGCACGTTGCCCCGAGGCACCACATCGCTGCTCTGAGCTTCACAGGCCTGTCTCCCCTCTCCTCGCCAAACTTAAAATGCCGGAAGTAGAAATCTGCTCAATCGTCTCCTTTGTCAGCCACTTTCTCCGTCTCTGTATCCGTCTTCCTGTCGGCGGAGTTGGATTCGGGTCCTCCTCCTGTAGTTCGATTGCGGCTTCTGGCCCCTGGCTGGTACAGCTGAATAGCAGGCCGGTCCTGATGCGGATAAACAATGCTCTTAGAGATACTGAAGAATGCTTGCAAGAGGTGATTTGATCATTTGAAACACTGGAGTCGTTACCTTATTCCGTAGGCGCTCCCTTTTACCAATCTCGTCCTTCTTGTTGTCTTTGGCAGGCTTCTCCGGTCTCTCGCAGTGAGAGGATTCTCCAACGTTTTCCCCCTTCTTCTTCTCCAAGGCACGCTCTCTGTCTTTTTTACCCTCCTCGTCCCGTTTCCGGCACGAGTTCTCTCCATCCTGCCGGTCTCTCCTTCTCCTCCGATCTTCGTCCTGTCGCCTGATGCGCTCCTTCTCTTTCTGCCGCCGCTCCTTCTCCCGCTCGCGGTCTCTGTCTCGATCTGTGTCACGCTCCCTGAACTCCTTCCGCCCGTGTTCATCCGCTCTGTGTGTTAAGCACAAATCCTATTGAAGTATTCTGTTCAAAGTGAGCAATGTGTTTAAAAACTAACAAACAAAAAACCCTCAAATAACTAACTTCCTTCCTCGATCCTCCTTATTGTCAATGTTCTGACGCCTCTTATGATCGGCACTCCCCATGGATCTGTCCTCTTTATTTGGCTTTTCTGGTTTCTTGGCCTTTTCCTTGGGCTTCTCAGAATCAGCATCTTCACTCCTGTCAGGCTTCTTCAGGAGCTACAGTTAAAAATAAAAACAACATCATAATAAGATCCTGGAAATTGCACACGATTTTAAACGGCTTCAACCATCTGGGGCACACACCTTAATTTTTGGTTCTTCTTTAACTTGGTCCTTATCTTTCTCCAGCGGTTTCTCAAGTCTCTTCATCTTCTCGGCCTCTTTGCGCTTCCTTTTCTCCTCCTCTCTCCATTTACGACGCTCCTCATCACGCACACGCTTGCGTTCAAGCTCCCTCCTCCTTCTCTCTTCCTTCTTTTCCTCCCTGATTCTCTGAATGGCATTAAAACAGGACATGAGACCAGCCATCATCATGCAGCTTAACATCTGCAACAACAACACCACACCGCAGTACTTATTTACCTGTTTATTCTTCAGGAAGTCCAGCAGAGGAGTTGTTTTTTTAGCTTGAAGGGAGAAAAAAAAGCATGTTTGAATTTATAACTGCAGCACTGTTTCTGTTTTAAAATACACACAGTGATGTTTCAGGTTGTTTATTTTAAAAAGGGACTGTTCACCTACCTACAAGTTCCTTTGATTTTGCCTCGAGCTCTTCCAACAAGGTCTCAGGTGTTGATGCCAACTTTTCTTCATCTCCGTTGTAATTTTCAAGGAACTTTTTGTATTCAGGATCTGAAAGAAAACATACAACATACATATATATATGGTAAGGCTGCTTGTTTGTAGCGTTACATGACATTATGTATTGACTAAGTATTATAACACTTAGGGCAGTTTTACCATTGGCTTAAAAACTGTTGCATTAATCCAGGCTATTTTAGGTTACTATTTATAGAAGCAAATGGCAAATATGTTCACAAACTTACACATCAAATGTTGGTAGTTTGGGACATAAGACACACATAACGTATACCAGTAAATACCTTTACCTTCAACAATTGTTCCACATTTTGCGTCCTTTTTCTTACTTCTTTTCTTGGCAGTCTTTTGAAAAGGTGCAAACTCCACAACCGCAGGATACTCCTGACCTGTTTAGAGTCATCAAAATGTGGATGTAAAGCCTTAATTCATGTATCAGGAAATCCTTGAGTTTGTGTGTTTAGCTGTAAATGTATGCCTTTCATACCTCTGCTGTCGATGAACACATATCCATCAAATCGATCTCTGAAGAGAACTATATCCTCTTGCTTTTTGAAGTTTATGTAAGCCCTTGCGAAGAGGTGAGGGTAGAGGCTGAATGGACAGAAAACACATGTCAGGTTCAACTATTAGAGTCACTGATGGCATAGTTTAAATTATGAAACGTCTTCATTATATATTCACCTGGTGTCGTTGGAGAAAAACTCCAGGTAGTCCATATCCGGGAGAGGTTGTAACTGCTCCTCTAGCTCTTCCTTGGTCAGACTTGGTGGTAATCGTCTGATCACAATCTAATAAAGATTACAGACACTTTATGATATTTAGCTGCAATCCGATTTGGGAGAAGAGGACAATAGTCTAATAATAACTTAAAGTTGGGTTAATAGTCACAGTTTGGTTTCAACTTACTAACGTTATATACAAAGTAGAGTATGCATGTAATAAACAGGGCTAGTTGAACACACGCTGTTTACTCATTGAACTATGAGTATAACTGACGACTTTTAGCCACATTAGCTAACGTAGCTAGCAAGTTTTACCTTTGTCATGGCCTCTTTCTTTTCTTTGGGCTTCTCCATCTTTTCTGCATCTTCACACTTTATTTCCACTTTTTTATCCTTCGGACGAGTGTTTTCCTTGTCTTCCTTCATAACTGAAACGCTACTTTGGGTCTCGGTTGAATCTCATCTCACCCCGCAGACTTGTTTACTTTTTTTAGCAAGTTAGCTGTTAGCTCGAAGTAACGCTAACTTCCTGTGTGTCGCCTGGGCCTGCAGTACCTCGTTACCGCCGGAGGGGGGCGCTGCGGCGGAAACCACTGGTGAAAACAAAGAGTGTAACGTGAATTTAAAATTATATTTTTTACTGTGTCCAATTGTTTTTGTCTTCGGGTTTGGAAATTTGACTGAAATACTAATTTTGTTTTTATTTTATTCTATTAAAAAAGAATGACCTCTGAATCAGCGGACTAGAACTTCCTGGTTTTCGAATGCCATTCAAAATAAAAGCATGCAAGTTTAAGTTAATCTTTTTAAGCAGTTTATTTGTCATATAACACTGGTTGTCTCTCCAACTGAGCGACTGTGCAGTTAGTAACTGATGTTATAATAATAATAATTTCATCTACAATAGCAATTACATATAAATGCTGCTGAGTAAAAACAAATACTTTATAATAATAATAATTTCATCTACAATAGCAATTACATATAAATGCTGCTGAGTAAAAACAAATCTCTTAATAATAAATATGTAGTCCAAAATGTTATTTACATGTGTAGGCAATCGTTCAACAAAGTCATTACAAACATAGCAGAATATACACAGAATGTATACTATCGTTTGACAGCACACTGGTCGAGTTGTTTGTACAATAATGAGGATTTTGTACGAGACTTCACCTTCACTGTAGAGCTTACGCTTTTCTTTTGAAAAAAAACAAAAGAAATAGACCGGAAGTATTATTCTTGTTCCGCTAGCGGATCACAGGTCGTCAGAAGGGTAGACATTTTGTTAGCTTTTAGCAAAATAAACTATCGAGGGCAGTCTTGGGGCAACTTGGTTGTCATCAGAGTAGGTGTTTGTCGCCTGACAGGTACAGGCTGCAGTCATGTGGTATGAAATCCTGCCCAGTTTCGGCGTTATGGCCGTGTGTCTGATGATTCCCGGCATCGCCACCACGCACATCCACAGGTTCACCAACGGGGGGAAGGTGAGGAGGGAGCCGGCTGCTAACGGGTTTAATGTAGCTGAAGGGTGAAACGTGCTTTGTTTGTTGTTTGTGTTGTGCTCTAAACTACTTGATTAAAGCCTCTTTGTTTGTTTCCCCTGCAGGAAAAGAGGAGCGCTCGGTCTCCGTGGCAGTGGTCTCTGATCCAGAGAGACATCCGAGTGTCCGGGACGGGGAAGCACTTTGACGCCAAGGTGAGTGTCCATATCTCAATAGGAAGACAACGTGTTGGAATAAAACTTGTTGTGATTGAGTTGTGCATGTTTTTTTTTAAAGAAAACATACATTTTCCTCCCTTCCCACTAGGTGGAGCTGTAACTCAGCTATCAATGGACTGTTAGTGTCTTTATGTACAGAACAGATTAACCTTATTGTTGTGCACAGTTTCATTAAAGACATACAAGATGTGTGCAAAAGAAAGTTATTTCTACTCACGATGTTAGCTGGTAAACTCCACATAAATACATCATTTTGTATCAACTGCTGAACATCGTATTCATGAGCATAAAAAAACAAAAACCATGAGGCAGGTCCTCCATCATTACTGGTTAAAAACGTTCATTTAAAGTCAAATTAAAGTAATATCTGTAAAATAAACAGCAAATGTTTTGTAAAATGGCAGCAGTGGGGTAATTGTATGATTTTAGGCTCTTTTTTTGTTGACACAAACAATGCAAATATAAGATCAGTGAAAGGAGAATGATTTCTAATAATTGGACTATCCCTCATTCAACAATCCAGTTACAACCCATCATTAGCAGTAAAGACACTGCTACAAGCCTACAGGTACCAAATTCATTTAGAGAGTTTAGTATTTTCTTGCGTCAAAGCTGATTCATAACTCTGCTGTAATTAAAGTGCCTGCACACCCACACAGGTGTTTTTAATATTGGGCTAATTAATCCCAATAGTTATGGTAAAACTTACATACACAGGTCAAACACCATCTGGAAGGCAGAAATGCAACTATTGCCTGCTCAGTTAATATGTGAAGCTTAGTAATTTAAATTAAAGTTAAATTAAAGATCTGAGTCATGACAATGTTTCCTTCTTCCCCAACAGGGACTCGAGAACATCCACTGATGACGGGGAGTATGAGGACCCTGATGAGAAGAAAGTTCTTTACTGTTCATCAAAATATTTTATTCAACATTCAGCTGTTTGTTTTTCCAGTCTTGTAAGACAGCTGTCTCTCTCTTGTTCATTAAACTGCTCCTTACTGGAAACCTTTGGAGGCTTCGTGGCTCATATGTTGATTTTCAGACGAGATATTGGTGCTCTAATCAGATAAATGCTTTACACCTGTCTTTATGTGGTTGAGCTTCTACTTTAGATGTTGTGTTGCTTGTACAAATGATAACCCAGTGTTATCCTGAGGAATATATCAAGATCTGTAGTGAGGCCAGATGTTATCATATAGTTGTGATGTATCTTAAATGTCTCCTGGTGTAAAGGCTGCATCACACACAATTCTTAAAACTGATTTAATTGCTATTAGAGCTCGAACGATTAATCAAATAGACGATATACAGACAACTTATTGACGGCTATTTTGTTAATGCTTTAATTTATGATCTGAAATGTAAGAATTTACATGTTTTATATCATTGTCAGTTTAATATTTGTGGGTTTTGGACTGACAACAAAAGACATCTGAAAATGTCACCGTGGACATTTTATAGCCAACAGATTAATGGATAATGAAATTAATCGTTGCAGCCGTGTTGCCAATCACATCCACAATTATATCCAAAATATTACACTATCAGTAGTTAGAGCAGGAAGTGTACTTTATTTTACCGATATCCAACAGCTCTAGTTAACTGACTGAAAATATAGATTTACAGTAGCAGCGTTGGTGAACATGCACACTCATATGGATTGGTATAATTAACAGATTGCTCCAATTCAGTGGTTCTGAAACTGGGTTCTCAAATGTGACAAAATAACACACAATATAGGAAGTGAGGGAAAAAAAACTAATGCTTCACAAAAAAATGTTTCTATAATCTTTTCACTTGTGTTTTATCTCTAAAGGCAACCCAAAATAAGAAAAACCACAAGATGACTTAATAATGAAAGTTTATTTACCATTCTAAAATGTACAGAAGAAAATAAAGTTTAACAACTGAAAGGAAAGACAAAATCCAACGGGTAAATAGGATGGAGAATATAATACAACTGAGTACTTTTCAGACTCATTTGCACACATTTCTTTACAATTAAAATCCTCCCTCCACATCGTACGTCTCTTTAAAACTGAATGCTGTTAAACATAAAACATAAACACCTCTAGTCTCAAGACTGGAGGTCACAGGGTCCAGTAAAAAGGGTAAATCCTGTACAAACGAGACATTCACTTCTCCTCCTTGCCTTTGGTTTTCCTGTACACCATCTCCCTGAAGCTCGACAGGATCTTGCTCTCCCTCTTCCTCCTCTCCTCCTGGTTGAAGGAGGCCAGAGCTCTCTTTTCATCGGCACTGTAGATCTGGTTTTCCTTTCTCAGACGCACAGCCTCCATACGACGATGTCTGCAGAGTTACATTTGAAATTGGTCAGTGTTGGACCACTTTAAGTAACTGTATACTACAGAGGAATATAATATATATTGGTCACACATTACGCAGTGTCCACTACATCATACTGACATCTGAACCATTATTAATTAGATGCAACACAAATCGTATCATGGAGTTCATAGTTGTAAACATCACGCACCTGCTGCCGCTCATCACGTAGCCGGACTTCTCAAAGTTTGCGATCTCGTCGCTGGTGAGTCCGATCTCACCTCTTCTCGGAATACGTTTGCCTGCTTTCACGTACTCAGCCATCGCAGCACCTTCACCTGGCAACAGCGCGTGGCCGAAACTGGGAGAGGAGAAAAAAACATTTATTAAATAAATAGTAAACATCACTGTAATATAAAAGATTATATGTGCTGTAAACACAGACTCTGAAAAGATCATATATATATATATATATATATATATATATATATATACACCCTCTGAGACGACTTCTTAGCAGAGTAAAGACCTGTTCATACCACGGCTGCTACTAATGATTATTTTAATTATCCAATATGCTGCATATTATTTTGTTGTTGTTTGTTGACGTAAAAAATGGTCCAAAAAGGACATTTTTGTCCAACAAGCAGTCTAAACCCATAAATATTATTTTTACTATCTGTATACTATATAGAAAATGTCTTGCTATAATGTGACAACAGTGACAATACACTCACTCCAGAGGTCTGTCGTCCTGGGACATGTGGGTGAGCGGAGCTTCGGGGCCGACCACGTGTTCGTCCATGCAGGTTTTCTCCACCCACATTACCCCGTTGGGATCCTCCTCCTCTTCCTCCTCCTCTGACTCTTCACTGCTGGAGTTGCTGGACTCCTTACGGCTCTTCTTCGCCTTCTTCTTCTTGGACTTCTTGGACCTGTTAGGAGACGATGTGTTGTTCAGTTAATCAAAATGTCCCCTTCCTGTGTGAATGAAGCCGGCAGAACTGCACTTTAGCTCTTACTTTTTGCTCTTCTTCTTCTTTTTCTTCTTCTTTATTTCCTCTTCTGAAAGATAAAAACACGATAATTCAGCCAAAACAACTCAAGGGAAACACTTTGTTGAGCCTCTTTAATGGAACTATGATTGTTTTACCATCTGAATCTGATTCCAGTTCGCTGTCCTCCGAGTGCTTTTTGTTCTTTTTCTTCTTGGATTTCTTCTTCTTCTTTTTCTTCTTCTTCTTCTCTTCTGTGAACAACAGACAGAATTCCTCGTAGGTTTTTAAACTCATAAAATAACGCTCTAGTACATTCATGTTCAAACACGGCGTGAGTTTTACCTTCTGAGCTCGACTCTGAGCTGCTGTTCTTCTCGTCTTCTTCGACTGGTGTGAATTCATCGGAGCTGGTGGAGACAGAACAAAGACGTTCATGCAGATTTCAGTACTGGAGAATAAAAACTAATATCAAACAATAAACATGTTGGTCTGGAGGAGAGATTCTGAACTTACTCTGGCTCTTTGACTCTTGGTGAATATCCCCAGACTTCAGGACAACCTAACTCACCGATCCTCTCCCTCTCCTGCAGACGTCTAACAGAAACACAGACAGATGCAGGAGTCAAATAACAAATAACTGGCTAATAACACGTAAGTAGGAAGTTCAAACAGTCAATTTCAGCTGTCACACGAGTTACACACAGTTTTATATTATTATAAACTTTTTATCCATCTGTCTGATAAAGTGATGTCCTTGTATATCACTTAGTAGACACTCTCAACCAGTTCCCTTGTATGGATCATTTAACAAGTAAAATATCATGGTTAGGTGTTAGAGCACATTCATTTTCATTAAGGGCAGTTAATATTGGATCAGTGAGATATAATATCATCATATTAACAATTATAAATTATATTATTCTTATGCAGATATACAAACCAGGAAGAACTGGGGGACTGGGTGGTAATTAGAAAAGATAGAGGGATCCTCTGATTTCCATAATGGAATAGTTAACACAATCCACATACTTGATGATACGGAGGAACTAACTTTACATCCTTAACTAAATGAGCCTTAATTTCATCATCACAACCTGCAGAAGAAGCTTTCAATGATTCAGTGACTGCAGACTGTTCAAGGGATCAAATCAGGAATGGATCTTTTTTTTTGTGACTCAATAAATCTTTTAGACTTGTTTCGTATTTCTCAGTTAAGGTTGTTAAACTCACCAATACTCTGATACTTCTTTAATACCACCATGTTTGAGACAGCATACAGTAGTGTTGAATATTGATTGTTTTATTCCTACATAAAAGGGATAAAAAAAAAAAAAAAAAAAAATAAAAAAATAATATATATATATATATATATACGTTAAGAGGATGTTTTAATGTATTTTCCTGTCTAAAGGACAGTAAACTAGGACTAATCTATGGTTATATATTCATAATATAATATTATTAATAAATGTCTCTGGCTGTGCCACTGTAAACACTCTTTAACTAACTAATATCTCTTGTGAGTGAGTTCTCTAACTTCACCATCAGAACATCAGTGAGACACTAAAGTCACTCTTTATTGATTAATCACGTCATCAAGTGGAAGGAATCAGTACAGTTGCAGGATTGATCGATAGTTGTATTAGTTACCTGGCAATAAACGCCTCCTGTCTCTGTCTCTGAGCATCGTCCCTCTGCTGCTCGTAGTAGTATTCATCTTTGAAGCTCCCGTGTTTTCCAGCAGCGTCCCGCTGCTCGGACCAGTTGTTGTGAATGTTGTGACTGTTGTTGTTATTGTTGTGACGCTCCCGGGACCGGGACCGGGACCGGCTGTGTCGGGGGCTTCCTATCCGGATCCGTCGGAGGTTTCGAGCCTCTCGGAATCGGTGCTCTCGCTCCTCGCGCTCCCGCTCCTTGTTGCGCGGCTTCGGGAGTTTGGGCCCAAAACTGTCCGGAGACAGGCTCCGTTCGCGGCTGTCGTTGCGGTTGCGGCTGCGGGATCGAGTGCGGGGTCTCCGGGCCCGAGGGCTCCGAGGCGCCCCGCCGCCGTCCGAGCTGGAGCGGTCCGACATTGTCTGAATCCGGACTCACACTGGACCTACGGCACACAGCGAGGACACACGGGGAGGGCTTAGTGACGGAGAGACGGTACTTTAACACGCGCTCACCGTCATGTTTCTGTTCTTTAATACGCAACTACAGCGTCCCACCACAGGAAGTCGTGATGTGTCCGTCCGCAAACAGGACCCGGTCTTCCTCACCGTGTAATGAACATAGTTCCGCCTGGAGACGGTGTAGTTTGTCAAATATAATTACTAAATAAATAAATACAGAAGAAATATTTGAACAAGCAGATACTTCTTATATCTTATTATATTTCTATTTCTATTTCTAGTTAGATTTTGTAATATAATTATTATTTTTATTCTTTAACACTGTGTGAGCAACTGTAACAAACACATTAAATAAAGTATTTCTGATTCCGACTAATTTAGTTTTACTGAAGACATTTAGGATAATACCATTCACTTGTCAATATCATAACGTTACAGATGAGGTGGGCTATATATGTATACATACACATATACACATATATATATACACACTATATATATATGTGTATATATATACATATATATATATGTGTATATATATATATATATATATATATATGTGTGTATATATATATATACACACATATATATATATATATATAAAGAGTAAAACGAAAAGTTGGGTGCAAGTTTATCTGACATGTAATAAAAAGAGATGAATAGATGTTTATTTGTTTTGCTGTTGTTTTTGTCTTCAATCACATACAGTTTATAGTACAGTAGATACAAGAATTTATACTTTATCAATAATTTACTTGCACTTAATGCAATGCAAATATCAAGCTGTAAAATCTTATTATCGTCGGAAAATGTAAACATATGGGCATAATGATGCATATAATTGTACAGTGTTGTAAAGTGTGTGAAGTGTGTAAGGTGTGTAAAGTTGTGTAAAGTTGTGTAAAGTGTGTAAAGTGTGTAAAGTTGTGTAAAGTGTGTAAAGTGTGTGTAAAGTGTGTAAAGTGTGTGTAGTGTGTAAAGTTGTGTAAAGTGTGTAACGTGTGTAAAGTTGTGTAAGGTGTGTAAAGTTGTGTAAAGTGTGTGTAGTGTGTAAAGTTGTGTAAAGTTGTGTAAAGTGTGTAAAGTGTGTAAAGTTGTGTAAGGTGTGTAAAGTTGTGTAAAGTGTGTGTAGTGTGTAAAGTTGTGTAAAGTGTGTAAAGTGTGTAAAGTTGTGTAAAGTTGTGTAAAGTTGTGTAAAGTGTGTAAAGTTGTGTAAAGTTGTGTAAAGTGTGTAAAGTTGTGTAAAGTTGTGTAAAGTTGTGTAAAGTGTGTAAGGTTGTGTAAAGTGTGTAAAGTTGTGTAAAGTGTGTAAAGTTGTGTAAAGTTGTGTAAAGTGTGTAAAGTTGTGTAAAGTGTGTAAAGTGTGTAAAGTTGTGTAAAGTTGTGTAAAGTTGTGTAAGGTGTGTAAAGTTGTGTAAAGTGTGTAAAGTTGTGTAAAGTGTGTAAAGTGTGTGTAGTGTGTAAAGTTGTGTAAAGTGTGTGTGTAAAGTGTGTAAAGTTGTGTAAGATGTGTAAAATTTGTTAAGTGTGAAATGTAAAATGTGTGTAAAGTTGTGTAAAGTTGTGTAAAGTGTGTAAAGTTGTGTGTAAAGTTGTGTAAAAGGTGTGTAAAGTTGTGTAAGGTGTGTAAAGTTGTGTAAGGTGTGTAAAGTGTGTAAAGTTGTGTAAGGTGTGTAAAAGTGTGTAAAGTGTGTAAAGTGTGTAAAGTGTGTAAAGTGTGTAAAGTGGTGTAAAGTGTGTGAAGTTGTTGTGTAAAGTGTGTAAAGTGTGTAAAGTTGTGTAAAGTGTGTAAAGTGTGTAAAGTGTGTGTAAAGTGTGTAAAGTGTGTAAAGTGTGTAAAGTTGTGTAAAGTGTGTAAAGTTGTGTAAAGTGTGTAAAGTTGTGTAAAGTGTGTAAGGTGTGTAAAGTTGTGTAAAGTGTGTAAAGTGGTGTAAAGTGTGTAAGGTGTGTAAAGTTGTGTAAAGTGTAGTAATGTGTAAAGTTGTGTTGTGTAAAGTTGTGTGTAAAGTTGTGTAAAGTGTGTAAAGTGTGTAAAGTTGTGTGTGTAAGTGTGTAAAGTGTGTAAGGTGTGTAAAGTTGTGTAAAGTGTGTAAAGTTGTGTGTAAGGTGTGTAAAGGTGTGTAAGGTGTGTAAAGTGTGTAAAGTTGTGTAAAGTGTAAAGTAAGGTGTGTAAAGTATGTGTGTGTAAAGTGTGTTGTGTAAAGTGTGTAAATTGTTGTGTAAAGTGTGTGTGTAAAGTGTGTAAAGTTGTGTAAGGTGTGTAAAGTTGTGTAAAGTTGTGTGAAGTGTGTAAAGTTGTGTAAGGTGTGTAAAGTTGTAAAGTTGTGTAAAGTTGTGTAAGGTGTGTAAAGTGTGTAAAGTTGTGTAAGGTGTGTAAAGTGTGTAAAGTTGTGTAAGGTGTGTAAGGTTGTGTAAAGTGTGTAAAGTGTGTGTAAAGTTGTGTAAAGTGTGTGTAGTGTGTAAAGTGTGTAAAGTTGTGTAAAGTGTGTAAAGTGTGTAAAGTTGTGTAAAGTGTGTAAAGTGTGTAAAGTGTGTAAAGTGTGTAAAGTGTGTAAAGTTGTGTAAAGTTGTGTGTGTAAAGTGTGTGTAAAGTTGTGTAAAGTGTGTAAAGTTGTGTAAAGTGTGTAAAGTTGTGTAAAGTGTGTAAAGGTGTGTAAAGTTGTGTAAAGTTGTGTAAGGTGTGTAAAGTTGTGTAAAGTGTGTAAAGTTGTGTAAAGTTGTGTAAAGTGTGTAAAGTTGTGTAAAGTGTGTAAAGTGTGTAAAGTTGTGTAAGGTGTGTAAAGTTGTGTAAAGTGTGTAAAGTGTGTAAAGTTGTGTAAAGTGTGTAAAGTGTGTAAAGTTGTGTAAAGTGTGTAAAGTTGTGTAAAAAGTGTGTAAAGTGTGTGTGTAAAGTAAGTGTGTAAAGTGTGTAAAGTGTGTAAAGTTGTGTAAAGTGTGTAAAAAGTGTGTAAAGTGTGTAAGTGTGTAAAGTGTGTAAAGTTGTGTGTAAAGTGTGTAAAGTTGTGTGTAAAGTTGTAAAGTGTGTAAAGTGTGTAAAGTGTGTGTGTAAAGTGTGTAAAGTGTGTAAAGTGTGTAAAGTTGTGTAAAGTGTGTAAAGTTGTGTAAAGTTGTGTAAGTGTGTAAAGTGTGTAAAGTTGTGTAAAGTGTGTGTAAAGTGTGTAAAGTTGTGTAAAGTTGTGTAAGGTGTGTAAAGTTGTGTAAAGTTGTGTAAAGTTGTGTGAAGTGTGTAAAGTTGTGTAAAGTTGTGTGAAGTGTGTAAAGTTGTGTAAAGTGTGTAAAGTGTGTAAAGTGTGTAAAGTTGTGTGAAGTGTGTAAAGTGTGTAAAGTGTGTAAAGTGTGTAAAGTTGTGTAAAGTGTGTAAAGTTGTGTAAGGTGTGTAAAGTTGTGTAAAGTTGTGTAAAGTGTGTGAAGTTGTGTAAAGTTGTGTGAAGTTGTGTAAAGTTTAAGTGTGTAAGGTGTGTAAAGTTGTGTAAGTGTGTAAAGTTGTGTTAGTGTGTAAAGTTGTGTAAGGTGTGTAAAGTGTGTAAAGTTGTGTAAAGTGTGTAAAGTGTGTGTAAAGTTGTGTAAAGTTGTGTAAGTGTGTAAAGTTGTGTAAAGTGTGTAAAGTTGTGTAAAGTGTGTAAAGTGTGTAGAGTGTGTGAAGTTGTGTAAAGTTGTGTAAAGTGTGTAGAGTGTGTAGAGTGTGTAAAGTTGTGTAAAGTTGTGTAAAGTTGTGTAAAGTGTGTAAAGTTGTGTAAAGTGTGTAAAGTTGTGTAACGTGTGTAAGTTGTGTAAGGTGTGTAAAGTTGTGTAAAGTGTGTGTAGTGTGTAAAGTGTGTAAAGTGTGTAGTGTGTAAAGTTGTGTAAAGTGTGTAAAGTGTGTAAAGTTGTGTAAAGTGTGTAAAGTGTGTAGAGTGTGTGAAGTTGTGTAAAGTTGTGTAAAGTGTGTAAAGTTGTGTAAAGTTGTGTAAAGTGTGTAAAGTGTGTAAAGTGTGTGTACATTGTCGAGTACTCAACCCAACTTCCGGTTTAACTTCATCGCTCACCGGAAGTTCTGAACCATGTCGGGTGTGGACTTTTAACCGATCTACGAGACGAAATGAAGTAGTTTGGGATGTTATACTGCAGCAATACTCTCTTTTAAATAATCCGTGTGGTTTCGTAGCAACAGAGACGCGCAGCAGCTGGAAACATGTCTTTTTCTACCGATAAACAGAAAACTAAATTGTACCCAGTGACCAAGAAAGTTGAGGAAATACTGGCCATGAAGTTGTTTTTCACGGAGCTGAATACGACCGCTACGTGTCTCATCTGCAGACAGATAGTATTATATAGGGAGTTTAATATGAAGCGACATTACACTGCTAAACACGCAAAGCAGTATAATAAATACTCTGGAGAGGAGAGGACGGCAGTGTCCGATCAGCTCCTTGCAGACTTCAACCGATCCAAAGAGCCTCCAGCAGACCCCGATGTGAGAAGAGACTCGCAACCCGACCAGAGACCCCCAGGTTTTATATATTTATATATAATTTATAGCGTTTAATGATCGTAGCGGTATGTACTTTTATTTTGAAGGCGACACTAGTAACCCGGTAGTCGTCTCGAGGACAAACCCGCCGTGGAAAAAGTAAACAAAAATCAACTCAAATATCGTCCAGGCGCTTATTTAACTGTTGTTTTTAATGCGTGTAATTAAATCAGTTATTTTCTATTTTATATCCGTCTTTAAGTCTCATGTGGTTTTAACTGTGTTGTTTTAGAAGCGACACGACGGCGACTCCTTGTGGCTGCTCGATCAATGAGGCTGTTAGCGCGGAGGGAGGGAGAGAGAGAGGCTGTTAGCGCGGAGGGAGGGAGAGAGAGAGGCTGTTAGCGCGGAGGGAGGGAGAGAGAGAGGCTGTTAGCGGGAGGGAGGGAGAGAGAGAGGGAGAGAGAGAGAGAGAGAGGCTGTTAGCGAGGAGGGAGGAGAGAGAGAGAGAGAGAGAGGCTGTTAGCGCGGAGGGAGGGAGGGAGGGAGGGAGAGAGAGAGAGAGGGAGGGAGAGAGAGAGGCTGTTAGCGAGGAGGGAGGGGGGAGAGAGAGAGGCTGTTAGCGCGGAGGGAGGGAGAGAGAGAGAGAGAGAGAGAGGGAGGGAGAGAGAGAGAGGGAGGGAGGGAGGGAGAGAGAGAGGCTGTTAGCGGGAGGGAGGGAGGGAGGGGGGGAGAGAGAGAGAGAGGCTGTTAGCGCGGAGGGAGGGGAGAGGAGAGAGAGAGGCTGTTAGCGAGGAGGGAGGGAGGCTGTCTGTTGTTAGCCATTGTCTGTAGCTCAGTTACTACGTTAAGTGGTAGCGGTCCTGCTTAAGTCTCGGCAGAAAACAACGGGGTTACAGGTAATCAGACTTTAATTACCGTGTAACCATTCAATGCGGCGAGGGGGTCACAGGAGAGAGAGAGAGAGAGAGAGAGAGAGAGAGAGTGTGTGTGTGTGTGTGTGTGTGTGTGTGTGTGTGTGTGTGTGTGTAAAGCTAACATGCTAACAAGGCCGCGCTGTCCGCTCTCATTAAAGAGGAAGAGGGAAGGAAACGCAGCTAGCGTCACCTTTTGTTAGCGTCTGAATATTACCTGAAACACACCGATAGCACTGATATTAAAGTCGTGGAAGAGCTGGCGACACATTTAAAGTTAAATAAATGTAGTTATGCATTTGTGAAATGTCATGTGAGAGTATTATTTCGGCTGGTTGCTACAACTTTTGGTAAACTAATGTAAAACGTGTGGCTAACGTCAGCTAAGGTTGACGTTATTGTTGTTTGTAGCTCGACTAACATAAATAACATTTGTTTGCATGAGCACAAACACCGATGTTCACACTCTTGCTGTTCCTCTTTGCATCAAATACTAAAACACAGCTTTATTTTTATTTATTTTTTAAAGAGAACCTGCAATTATTTGTCTGCAAATAATGAATTTACCACATAAACTGTAGTTAGTTTATTAGACACAGTCATCTTGAAGTTAAACTAATGCAGCCAAGGACAGCCAGGCCGTAAATAATGCCTGCATGAAGGTTTGAATGATCACAGCTGTTTGGATTCAACTTCCTGGTCAGGTTAAAGACTGTAGTTTGTGATGCAGTGTGCCACCTTATCGATATCTGTGGGGGTCGATCAAGTATTAGGAACAAGAGCTGGACCATTTATTAGTGCATATTTATTGGAGTCCGTATATATGCTGACTGATAAGTATAAATATAGCCAAATACACATTTGAGATAACAGTGTTTGTCCACCAGAGAACATTTTATACTCTCTAATCTATACTTCAACAATCTTTTATTGGTCAGGTTATATTAGAAAGACCTCTTGGTATGATGCAGCTCAATCTACAGCCAAAATGAACTTTAATCAACAAGCAGACACTTGAACCCTCGTGGATGTCGGACTTATTACAGTACTAGACAGACATTATAGTCTCTGGAAACTGAATATGTGTAATATCATAACAATAATAATAACAAACAAAAAATAAATCAAGGTAAAGTTTCCTTAAATAACTTCCTGGACTGGAACCACCTATTGACTGCTGTGGTGTCAGTGATAATCGACTGTCAGGTCTGGAAAAGCAGGATATGGAAACTCCTTAACTTCGAGTTTTGTTGAAGCACCTAGTGGTATTCTGCATGTCACCACAATGTAACTAACTGATCCTTTTATGTGTGACTCTGATTCACTTTCTCTCGATTTTCCTCTCTGCAGACATGCCGAGTCTAAAGCTGATATCTGCTACCGACACGCAGTATTCAGCGGCTGTGCTGAAGTCCATGAACGAGCAGCGAAACCATGGATTATTTTGTGATGTCACCATTATCATACAGGACAAGAAATTCAGAGCTCACAAGACAATCCTGTCGGCCTCGAGCACATACTTCCACCAGCTCTTCAGTGTCGCTGGACAAGTGATCGAGTTAAATTTCATCAGAGCAGAAATCTTTGAGGAGATTCTCAATTATATTTACAGCGCCAAGATCATCCGTGTCCGCTCCGACATGCTTGAAGAGCTCATAAACGCGGGACAGATACTGGGAGTCAAGTTCATTGCAAACTTGGGGTCTCCGTTGTCACAAGTTAAGGGTCTGCCTGGTTTGTCTAAGGAGACGGAAAGCAAAAGTGACACACCCACGGAGATGATGCCGATCATCACAGAGTCTTTCTCGATATCTGCTGAGGAATTCAATCAGACGAGCAAACCCGCGGGTAACGATGAGGACTCAGACAGTGATGTTATGTTCGTGTCACAAACTGATGCTCAAACCAGAGCAACCAAACAGAAAACCGGCCCTGGCGAGGTCATTGTTTTGGATTCAGCTAATTCACAAAATGAAGCATCAAAGAAAACTGAAGAATCAAATAATGCAGTTGCAAAACAAGCAGAGAAAGTCCAAGCCCCCGTGAAAACAAACGCCCCAAAGCCCCCCAGCATCAGCTGTCCAAACCCAAGTTTGCTCAACAGCAGCCCCCTGCGAAGCCCCGACAGCAGCTCCAATAACTCGTCTTCCCCCGCCAGAGTTTCCTCAGGAAGTGCTCCCACAACTCCAGCCAGGTCAAGCAGTTTCACACCTGAACCCTCAAGTGCCTCTCAGTCCTCTGAAAGCAGCGATATAATGGGAGTCCACAAGAAGCAAGTCTCTACTTCAACTCAGAAAGGGGATTTCAAAATAATGCTCTTAGATGTGTCTGACAGCTCCGCAAATCAAACTAACATTCCCAAAACAGCCGTAGCCGCAAAAAAGACAGTGACACTCAATACAGCCACAGAGATTGATTCAATTTCATCAGGCTGTAAAGTGTACGCTAATATTGGAGAAAATACTTATGACATTGTCCCAGTGAAGGAAGATCCAGGTGAAGGAGGCTCTAAAGCCAATAAAGGGAAGAGGTCGTTAATGGCAACACCTTTGAAATCCTTGAATAAAGCGCCCATGTCTCCGAAGACCAGCCCCAACAAGAAGAGGACCAAAACGGAGCTTGAGGACCACTACGAGCTGATCATGGACGGGAAGACCTTCTACGTGTGCATCGTCTGCAAGCGCCCCTACGTGTGCCTGACGAGTCTCCGCCGCCACTTCAACACCCACTCGTGGGAAAAGAAGTACCCGTGTCGCTACTGTAACAAGGTGTTTGCTCTGGCCGAGTACAGAACTAAACATGAAATCCACCACACGGGAGAGAGGAGGTACCAGTGCTTGGTGTGCAATGAAATGTTCATGAACTACCAGTTACTGTCCACCCACTGCAAGCAAGTCCACAACCAGGACCCCAGCGGGAGGAAGGAGAAAGACGACGCCGACAACAACTTATACCGACTGCTGCCCTGTAAAACGGTGCAGATGAAGCCGTACTCATGGACTACAGACGGGCAGGGGGTCCCGGTCATATCCGAGGATGGCAGCGTGCATCACATAACCACCGTGGGCGAGGGCGTCCACTCTTCCACCCAGACCAGGATGTTGAACTGGGACGACATCTTTGTCGAGCCTGATGCTCAAATGCCCGCCGGTGATCGCGCCGGACCAGTGTCGACCATAAACACGCCTCCACAGGGAGCCACAGAGTTTGACTTTGTTATACCAGAGACCTACTGAGCAACACTCACTGCTCCATTACCTGTGCCTTTTAGGTACCCCCCACCACCTTTTCTCCCTTTTGGTTCCATGTCAACAATATTCTTCTGTAATTCTCGAAACTGTCTGCATAAGGTACGCTCACATTAGCCTTTCTGTTTTACATAAAGGTGTTGTGTAATGTTCTAATCATGGTGAACTGCAAACAAACGCTTGCATTGAATTGGAAGTCAGACAGAGCGTATAGTGGCAGGACAGAAGTGTAATGTGACCATACCTTAGACTCATTGTTACTCTGCTTGTCTAATCTTTTTATCATTGGAATAAATGATAATCACATTAGCAAAACAAACACAGCAGTGGTTCACACGCAGTAAAATATATAATTAGTTTATATGGAAAATATCAATTCAGTGCAAGAAACAAAAACTGCTTGAGAAAAATAAGAGAGAGGGGTGTTAGGTTTTAAATCAATAGTTGTAATAAAAGACAAAAATCATGTATATTTAAGTTGTCACTGTGTGAGGAGAGTTGTAGCTGTTGCAGGGTTAGATTACCCGGAGATCCGATAGCGCAGGCCTCGGAAAATGGCGCACAGAGGCATGTACGCTCAACGCGTTGTACGCTGCAGTAATTTTCCAATAGACCAGTGGACAAACAAACAAAACATTCTGCGAAAAAGCAAGAACAGAGTGTTTAGCAGAGGAATATGCGCTGGCCTACAGCTCCTCAATGCTGAGGATGCATTGATCTGTTCATCAGATAGGACCAAAAGCGACACCAGTGATCAGAACCTCTCTATCAAACAGTGCAGTGTTTGAGAAATGTATAAGTAATAGATGAGCAACAGACAAACACTGTGAATACAAAAACGTAATATTGTTGACACGTGTTGTAAATCTAAAATAAAAAAAGCTACATACATAAGAGCAGCTGCCCCTGTGGAAGAGTCATATAAAGACGGGACGAGCCTTCCGTTGTGACCACTAGTGCCGGGGGACACGGCGTCGAGCATAAACATAGCCCAATGATGATATCTAATTTCCTGTTGCTCTAAAGCCTCAAATTCTGCGTCAACCAGAATATTTCTGATGAAGGATCTGAAGTACAAAGTGTGACATTAAGCAGCCCACTGAGCTCCCGTTCATAAAACAGAAATGGGGTTACCTATTTAAGAATGTGAAACCTCAGCTGTAACCAGGACAACGTCCCATAGTGAAATAAAACAAGGTTGCTTGAGTTTTAAATCCACCATCAGATGCATCAATCACGAATCTCACTTTTGTGATTGAGGAATTGTTAACAGTTTTTCCATTGAGATGTTTTTATCCTGTACAAGAGAATGTTAATTATGATCTGAAATATATTTTTTCATTATGTGATTGTTGGTGAGCCCACATGTGGATATTGTGGCAGGGACGATATATAATGGTTATTTGATTCCTCAGTGGCTGGAAAACCAGCTATGGCTTTTTTTTGTTTCTTCTGTTTTATTTCGATACATCTTTACATTTTTATTTGCTATGGTTGTCATGTTAATGATCTCAAGTGCAGGCTGGAGATTTTGCTTACAAATGTGATAAACTGAGGGTTATTTCAGTCCGTACATATAGCACTTAGCATTGGATCTTTTTGTAATGTTTTTACTTTTTCACTAAGTTTTTTTTTTCCCCATTGTGTCAAAACGTAGTGATTGTCAGTATGAGTAAAAAAAAAAAAAAAGTAGTGCTAATATGGAAATCTTTTCTGTTATTCAATAAAATCATCCAGGATGCAGGTTTTGTTTTTTTAATTAACAGATTAACATTGGTGTGTGATGTACAGTATATTTCTGTTAATTTTTTTCACTATTTCGGATGTATTTATTAGGTTTATAGTGGTAGACAAAATGAAATAGTTATGAAATACCCTGTTGACATTGTACAAAGTATCCCTTTTCTGTCAGTTAGCAATAAGGGGTCCCGGATGCTAAATAAATTATTCTTTTACAAATTTAACTTGATTGTCTTGCACCTCCAGCATGTAAACATCTGCTGTTTTATTCACTGTGATGTACCTTCTCCAGCATCTTCAAACAAACACAACTAAAAACTTAATCGCGAGTAAAATAAATCTGAACTGATAGAAAATCCTGTCTGTACACGTCCAGAAGATAATGGAAGAGCTGAATTCATAATAGATTTAATTTATTGAGAGAAATGGGTCAACGTTCCCATTTAGTAAACATGAAAATAGAGCTGATGCTGAGTTTTGCAGGTATTTGGTCATAAAGTAAAATGTTGGAAATGAAAGGTTTGATTATGGCTCTATGTGGAAAGTTCACGGGCGGACATGAACATCAGCACCGTCAACCAACAGTTGTTAGAGGATGTTTCAGGCAGGACAATAGTGTTCGATCCACCAACACTGCCTACAGCACCACACTGCCAGCTTGGCTTAAAAGAAACACAATATTTGAATTACACAAAACATTTTTTATTGGCAAGACAAAAAGGAACTGACAATCAGCCCCTGAGAATGTGTTGTTTAAATTATAAAAAGCAGTGATTAAAGCTGACAGACTGGTTTCAGTTTACACTCTCTTCCTCAGTGAACAACAGGTCTTATTCTTTGACTTTGAATGATCTCCCATCTCATGTCAGTGAATCCAGCACCGACTGTTCACCCTCAGCCTTACACACGTTTACACATTTCAACTCTTAGATGTGATATTAATACTACTTACAAAGAGAGAGACGAGATGTGCTTACCTGCTTTGCAGCTTTTAGTGAAAATGCAATAAATAGGGTTTGGAGTGTAAATGTTAACTGTCCTGACTTAACAACTACTGCAGAATAGCTTATTTCTTCATTAGCACTGCTCTGCAAAGTTCACCACACACTGATCAAGATATTTTTGAACATGAACAGAAGAGTTAAATAGATTCCATGATCTGTTTGTATACCTTAGGCTTAACTGCTAAAGGAGCATCTGTATATCATACTGCTGAGCATGTAACCTCCATTACTGCTAACTTTGCCTTTAATAATGTACAAGGACACTACTGTCCGCTAAAGAAACAACTGCTTGGGCTTACAACTCTACTGTTTTTTAATTTTCTAGCTGATTCAGATTTGGGACTGACACCAAAGCTTTTATCCTACTCTGCATTAATCTCACACAAGGCTCATAGCTGTGCGGTGATCCTCACAGTGCAAACAGTGAGGGCGTTATCACCTGTACCACTTGAGGCAGGAAGCATTTACAATATGTACTAAAGAGAGGTGAACATGAAGCATGAGCTGGAGGAGAGCTTTTTGCCCTTGTACAGAATAAATCCAAGTGACAGAGTGCTGCAGCACTGGAAGTCCGTTTGCATTAAGGCAGATAGATGTGTAAACAATCCTGGCTTTGAACCGGTTGTCTCTCTTGATGTGTATATGCACGCACACACACACACACACACACAGTGCAGGTATGAGTGTGAGCGGTGCCCAGGGAGACAAACTCACTCCCTTGTTTTTCGGCTTAACTCAAAGTTAGTGTGCTCTGTGGCCATCCTCCTCCTCCTCCTCCTCCTCACTACCTTTGCTACAACACAGTTCCCAACAACTGCGAGGAAGAGCCCAGAGTGCATTCAAACCACTCAATCAGCATCTCACAACACCCGCTAACGTTTCAGGTGCCTCCTGTGCTCGAGGACGTCTTACGGGCTGTACGGTGGGGGCTTCTCGTCAGGGTGATTGTGAGGGGGAGAGTAGCGTGGGGGGATCATTGTGGGCCACAGGTGGCTGGCTCCAGACTGGGAGTCATCTGACAGGCCTGAGGAGTCGGGGAACACGTAGGTGCCCTGTAGGAAAGCCAAAACATTCATCAGAATGACATCTTTACAAGTTTGGTTTCAGAATGACTCCAGACTGCTGCTGCATTCAATGAATGTCTTTTCTTGTACCCAAAGGGAAACTGGTTGCGAAGCAGTGAAACACAAAACACGAGATAAAAACACAAAGCACATGAATACATATTAATATAAAACAGGAAAAAACAGAGTGCAAGAGTCTTTATATCTGCTAGTTTTGGCTAACGGGAGTCAGAGGGCAAGATCTGAAACTGGATGTTGGAGAGTAGGAGCCATCAGACTGGATGGACTGTTTGTTTTACACTTCTCTTGTGTACCACTAATTCTGCTACAGACATTTACAAATGTATAATATTTTGTCTGAGAGAAGAATACCAAGAGATAATAGAAAATGTAATAACTGACTGATGGCATTAAAACGTTAAGCTGAATTAACATTACCTCTTCCTGTCATAATATTAATGAATCAAAACCTTTTATCTGAACTAGACACCACTGATAACTGCCAATAATAAATCAATAATTGCTTTACAGTCTCCCACTATGCACTCTACGCAGTACAGCAGATGGAAAGTGTCTCTGTACCTGCAGGTCGTAGGCAGTGTAAGGCGGCAGGCAGGGGGCAGTGTTGTAATACGAGTTGAGGGAGGTTGTGGGTGGAGGTGGCTCTGAGAGGACTGGAGCTGTGATGGCCTCTGGCTCAGATGTACTCTCTGAGGCAGCAGAGGGAGTCTGACAAGGACATGAAGAGTTTTGATCAGTTTCTATCAATTGAAACACCAGAGAATTAACAAGAAAGAGAATTTTACAATTAAAATCACCACATAGTTTGAGACTTATTCCGACACATCAGGCAGAATAACCACAGTCGTCTCTTCATTCACGTGACCTACCATGTCTTTGAAGCCTCCCAGCACTGCAGCAGTAATGATGCCCAGGAAGAGGGCCACGATGTTGAGGATGGTAGCGGACCATAACAGGTGATAGAGGTGCACCACATCCTCGCAACTCTTCACGTCGGTAAATTCATGGTAGCCTCCAATCACCTCTACACGGCTAGCCCAGTGGGTGGGATAGAGAAGGAAACAGCCTACAGTCAAGCCACAAATGTCACCAATACAGCTTTTACTAATGCTAAATGCTAAGGCTGTGTGCATTTGTATTGGAGACACGATGAAAGACATACAACAGGTTTGATTTATACAGATAAATGAGTCTATGTCTGTAAGAGTTCCAGTGGTTTTGAGGTGGTTCAGACACAAAAAGAGCATGCAGAGGAAATGGCACTAAAAACACATTTCTATAGTGGGTTAAAACATAACATTTCTACATAATTATTTAATTTCAATCAGTACTGATCAAAACAAGAAAAAAAAACGTCATGAGTTGATCATTAATGGCCAATATGGTTCTAGAAAAAAAGGGACCTACTTCCAAATCATGGATGATTTCCTAAACTTTTTCAAAACATCTTTATTCTGAAGTCCCATAAGAGGATGTTCTCTGAAACAAAGGTTAAAAGAAAAGAAACATTCTTGTTCTAATACAATCAACGCAGTTGCAGTGCAAAACAATTTCACACAAAAATGGTACACATCAAAAATCCAAACAATCAAAGCAACGCAGCAAAGCGAGTAGCCACTGATTCGTCAGGTGTTCGACCTGCTCAGCGTACTCACTTCCCGCAGTTGTAGAGGTCGCAGCAGTAACAGGTGTTGCTCTTCACACGCAGGTTACAGGATGAGCGCTGCGTCTGACAGGGTACCTGAGAGTCAGAAATTATTTTACAGTCTCTGCACTTTGGGTCGGCTTCTGGCTCTGTCCCCACTTCATTGCTGGGTTGACATTGACAGTTCAAACACGTACACTGAGAATGAATTGATCAGAAAGTGAAGCATGTGTTTCTTACGTCACGCTCAGATGCAGTCTCACTGGAGTGATACTCACACCGACCAGCATACAGAGGCTTGAGGTCCTGCAATACATTAACATGTTTATATATCTTACTGCACAGTTCATCACTAGTCTACTTACAAACATGCACTAAATTATATAAAGAAACTAAGATAAAGAAGCAACAACACGTACTAGATTAGTGATACATGACTCATGACTTTTATTATTTTACCACCAACTAACTTTTACAGCTCAGGATTAGTTGGTTTCTGGGCAAAATATAATGAAGTTGCTGTTACTGTGTACCTCAAACGCGACACAATGCATCAGAAAGTGAGAGTATTGGGGGTAAAAGGAGGTTCCACAGCTGTAATTCTCTTTTTCAATTGTGAAAAACATACAGAGATCAGGTCATCTAAGTTTTATGGTTTAGTCACAATTTCCTTATCCATTCAAATTCTTAAACCTTTTCTTTCAAAAATAAAGTCCAGATGCTCCACTATAAACAGCCAAAAGCCTCTTTCTGATTGACTCATAACTGAGGTCACCACCGACTGTTTGCTCTTCTAGAAACATGTGACAGACATAGAGACCTGGACAAGACTGCAAGTTTCAAAATGATCATTACGTATAAACACTGAAATAAATCATTATTTATTATCATTTAATAATAAAACACAATCATCATAATCCAATTCACAAACCTATGCAATAATATACATAAACATTGTTATCAAATAATATACTTTGGTCCTACATTGATTATGTTGCTCAATATTGAGATCAAGAATATTTATTAATCTTTGGGAGAACTTACTTTTTATACTTTATAAATAAAACAGCGTAATTTAAGTGTCTTGCCTGATGCAGAGCCCCCTTTATGAGTGCTCCAAACAAACACCTGTGAAGGGTCAGAAACTTTACCTGTGAACAGGACGGATTTCACAGGAGGCAAGCGCTTAATAAGAGCATTTAATCAGCATCATGATTGTGCAGTTAATTGTGAAGCCCTACATGTGATTCTCTGAGTAATGTCTGAGAAATGTACAAACAACAACATTTAGATAAATGTAACCAATACAATGATTATGTATGTATATATGTACGTATGTATATATGTCTGTATCATACTGTTTCCCAATCCTCTTACATTCAACAGTGTGCCTCTTTGTAGTTTAGTGGGCAAAAGATTTTACATTTTCCCTTTTACTGACCCCGCTGGCAAATGAAAACCTGCCAATAGTGCCCGTATCTGTTTTCACCCAGCCATAACTTATTTTAGCATAATTGTTTAAGAGCGCATTAGTGGTTATTTATTGTTTTATGTACTTTGCGTAATGGAGAATAATCTCCCTCCACCACACAATATATTTATCCTGCTGAGGAGGGTGCAGCAGCTGCTACAGCCAGCCATATGTGAGCAATGCCCTTGAAGAAGTGCATATGTATGTATGGCAGACGGAGTATATATAGCTTTAATGGAGATGGCATTGATTAATATGCTTGTTATAAGTTGGGGCACACTGGGTTATCTATGTTCATAATTTATTAGTTTGGTTAAATGGGCAGACACTTCAGTGTTACTTACAATGTGCCTCGCGGCAAAAACTCCATCGACAATAGCACAGCAGAAGGCAGCCACCACTCCAAAACTGATGAACACGATAGATGCGACTAACTGCGAAAGAAAACAGAGGAGCTGTAAACTCAACATAAACAGGCGATATCACTACATGTATGAAGTATGAGTATGAATTCCTCGGAACAGGATGAGGGTCGGAGGGGTTTGTGGGCCGGGGCAGAGGACAGAGCGCTGTGGTTGTCACCTAGCTCCAGTGGCTGGCACGGCGCCCAGCTCTTTATAGGCTGTGCAACCCTTTAATTCTCCCATTCGCCCCCTCCTCTCCTCCTTTCACTCCTCAATGAAAGGCAGCATGTATTCAATTACACATCACCCCACCCTGTCTGCAGCCACCCCAGCTTGCAGGAGGAAGGCAGTGCAAGTGAGGCAACAGATTCAGCAGCTAGAGGGAATGGGGATTTATGCCAAGATTTCTATGATTGCTGATTATCATATCCAGAAACAAGTAGATCTCAACAGCACATTTTAACAGCCCTGTGGATATTTAATCTTTCTTAAAGTCAGTAGAAATGTATTTTCTCTGTCATAGCATACTCTGAGCAATGTTGGCCTCCATCAGTCAACACACTATTTTCTACCAAACTAAGTTAGTTTTAATTGTTTTAATTGAGAGATTTCTGCCTTTGTGTTTCTTTTTCTGTGCTCTTCTCACTGGTTTGAAGTGGACGGGACTCAGAACTTAACTTAACATCACACCAGCGAAGCAGTGCCATGCACCAACCAAGATTCAGCAGCATTTGAGTCTGATGAGAGTAGTGGGGTTGTTTGTTTTATGCTACAAAGTAACTGTCAATCAAATCTGAAACCACACCCACATTGTCCTGGTGAAGCAGACTGGATGAGTTTTTTGAGCGTTTAACTAAAAAAAAAAAAAAAAAAAAAATTAAAGATGTTTCCCAAAAGTTAACTTTGATTGTTACACAATAAGTCACAGATATTTAATGTTATTCAGAAAGACTTTTCAAACCATGTTATCAAGGGCTTTATTTATTTTGAACCACAGGCCACCCTAATGTGGAAATGGAAGCTCTCCCTGCACACTGTGCTGCTGATTTGTGCTAATATGATTATTGGTGGAATATCAATTATCATTCATTTACTTTATTCAATTTACAAGTAAACATTTATAAAAAAAATCTTCTTCCTACCTAACTGATCATTTGGGTGGCAACTAACAAGTCTTTTAATTATCGATTAATCTGCTGATTATTCTCTTAATTAATCAATTTAATGGTCAGAAAATAGTAATAAAAGTGAATTACAATCCAAATATATATAAGTTATTACCATAGAAGATAAAGAAAACCTGTGAATATTTACATTTGAGAAGCTGAAAGTAGTAAATTATTGGCATATTTACTTAAAAAACGAATGCAACCAGTTATCGAAAATAGTTGCCAACACAAAAATCATATGTCTCTAATACCCCAAACCATAAATAATATCAACACATTTTCCACGTAATAACATTTTATGTCAAACAACAAATCAGAGGCAGTGTGGCGTCACATGTCACAGCTCAGTCAGTCATGGTACACACACACTGACTGCTGCATTATGGGCAAAAGGTGTCACGGTACAAACTCATTCTTCATTTCAGCCCTGACAGTCCCTGCCCGGCACGTCCCACCTGCTCCTCTCATCTGCAGTTTCCTTCCCCGCATTCCAGTGTGGACATCTGTCCTCCTCCACTTACACCCTATTTCTATTTCTGGCTGCATCTCCCATGAAGCCCAGGATACTTGCACTGATACACAAACCTCCTCAGGCCAAGGGGGACTCGCAGTCTGGGTTAGGTCTGTGCTGTGTCTATTGTCACATTAACAACATAATCAAGCTGCCGTTAGGTAATTGGGACTGATCCACAGTTTAATGAGAGTGCTCTTTGACTGAAGAGACAAGGAGACACCGAGCACTGAAAGTGATCTCAATGCACAGAGGTAATATAAATCCTCTTACCATCTGCCTCTTGTTCTCTATCAAATGAGCGCCGATAATTCCCAGAAAAGAGCCAAAGCCCAGCTGAAAAGAGAGACAATAGCTGTTAGGGCATTTATCTAATTTGACTGTAAAGCTTTGACTTCATAGCGCAGTGGGGAAAATCAAGTGTTAAATGTTTCTGTGATTCTCTGGAGAAGCATTGCAGCATGTTTACAATGATACCAAATACTTAAAAAAGATAAGCACCATAAGTTGTAGATGAATTTACTCTAATTTGAACATTTGTGATAAAAAGCTTCTCCTAATCTCAAAACCACAAATATGATGAATCTCGAGGTCAAAGTTAGAAGAAGCAGCTTCAGACAAACAGTGGCTGCTTTCCTGGTAGCTCTTTATGCTAGAAGAAGACTGAAAGCAGAGTACTGTGAATAAAACACATTTATGGGCTGAGACACTTTACCTCACTCAGCCTCTAATGACAGCAATGCTGAATAATGAATGTGGGGAAAATTCACCCCTCTGAGACCTTCAGTAATTATTTTCATCAGAGTCCGGGAGCGGGAAGAGCCTGCTACAAACACTCACTTCACTCACACTTCTTATGAGCTCTGACAGTGAACAGGCCTGCTGTGTCGTGCCTGCTGCTGATGCATGCAGGTGTGAATGTGCACTCACAATGACTCCTGGGTAGTAGCCGCCCACCGTGATGTTCTGCGTCCTGGTCGTCGCTGCCAGGCCGAAGATGAGGATGAGCACAGATACAATGAGCAGCATCACTGTCACTATTATGGATTTCCTCTTCCTCCTCTTAAAAGAACCTACGAGGACAACAAATGAGGGGACATTACTGCAGCAACGTGATGTGAAGTTAGAAGATGTGGCTCCACCACAAGCATTGACGTAATGGGAAGTAGCTGAAGAGGCTCATGACTGGACTGGAGTTTCTCTGGTTCTGGTCACATTGACATGTTGCTTTGAAGAAGCAGTAAAAAGGGTCCTATTTGTACTGTATGTGCATCTTTAACGGAACCAAAGGAATCGGCTTGTGAAACACTGCGAAGCACCCTAACTCATCTTCTATCAACAAAAGTGTGGAGAGGACTAATCTGGACTTATTTGAAGGATACAATATTTAATTTACTATTTAACACTGGATGGTCATTGTCATGTCTTGCGTACATTCACACATACAGAGAAAGTAACTTCTATAATGAAGCGCAGTTCAAAATGCAGAGCAGTTTTCTCAGAAGCTATAATACGAGTTAGCTCTAAAAATAACTTCTGTTATTATTATACTTATGTTGCTCGGGATGGAAAAAACCCTGGCGGGTATGCCAATTTTGACTTTAAAAATATAAAGAAATCACACATGGTTTGGTTTAGTGGGAAAACTTCCTGACATACTCCAAAGGTCTGCTGATTCTCCAATATTTTTTATTTTTTTATTTTTTTTTAACCACAAAGCACATATAAGAATTACACTAACCAGCAACAAACTATCATTATATTTACATTAAAGAGGGTTTCTCTATTAATCTGTGCCTTAAGGTTTAATTAAGAGGTGTTAAGGCTTTGAGATGTTGATCATACAATCCCAACACAGGAACTTTTTAAATACCGGCCTTCTTTTGTTGCACACCATCCGTTTTCACTCTCTTTCTCTCTCCCCTCGTGTCCACTCAGCTGTCTGTATACTGTCTAATAAAGACATAAATGTGGGAGAATACAGGAACTGTACTGTGTGATGCATGTATGCATCGTGTGTGTCATCTCTCTAACACTACTGATTGTTTTCATTGTTGAAAATCTGTTTCTTTTTTAAAACATAAATTCAATCAAACACATCTACCTATGCTGTGGATATTATATATATTATATATACTGTCTTATCCACCTACTTCATGTACATACAAATAACTGCATGTATGTAGGTCATTCTGATCTACAGTAAAAGATGGTCAGGTTAACTGTATATTGTATATTTGTAAAGCAGAGTTTTCATCTTGTACTGAAATTATATTTAAAGTTAACTTTACTGCCATTACAACAAACATTGATATAATATGCCCTGGTGAGCTTGCAGTGCAACAGAGATCATTCAACACAACAAAATATGAATTAAACATATTGAACATATTAAAATACACATATTTAAAGATAAAGATAAAAGACAAAATACCTTAAAGTGTGAGTGCAATTCAGAAGTAAACATTTAAAAAATATACATAAATGACTACAAAGACAACCATAAACTGACGTTGTCGTCTGAACCTGCTCTGAGAGGGTAGCTCTTTAAAAAGGAGCTGCTGGATGAGAATCATCTCTAACAACATTCAGGGCCTTTCAGTGAAGTTATAAACTGAAGAGAGAGATACCTAATGGAGAGACCAGGGATTTTAGATGCAGTTTTAGCTATTTGTTTTCAGCAGTAGTCAGACTACCGAGGAAGGTCTGCCTGCTTCTCGTATTAATCTACTCAATTTATTTTTACCTCTTCCTGCCCAATTTATTCTAAAGTGCTCACCAAAACTCCTTCGAGAACAACAGATCACCCAAGTCACTCTCTATGTTCAGTTTTACCAATTTATAGAAACACAAGAGTTGGAAAGCCACAGACAGGCGTCACTGCTACTGAATGCTGACGCTCCAACATGGAGATCAGTGCTCATCGCTACACTGAGCATATGGTTTCTGTCAAATTCTGTCACCACGGTGCATGCACAATGAAGGACACTCTGGGATTAATGATCAGCAGAGCAGAGCTGGGAGTTATATTACAATAACAATTATACTGTGAGAAAACTGCATTTCCTCTGGGACTGTCTTCACTATAATTCTGCACTGTAGATAGTTTTCTTTCCCTGGTCTCAAATCCTAAATTACAGTAGACTGAAACATGTGGCTCTGTTGCACCAGTTAAATGAAAGATGAACGTCTCAGTTTTCCCATCATAACACATCCTTTCCGTTTTAAATTCTTAAGAGACATCCAATGCTCTCTTAGATCAAATATCATATGAAATGCCTTCACTTTATATATTATCAGATCAAGTGTTATCTATCTGTCAATATTAAGCAGAAATGTCTCTGACTCTACCCTGCAGGACTTTGTGAGAAAGGGATGTTTATTGTTTATTATGTGGATTATCTGAGACTATAGGTATAGGTTCTGTTATTTGGCTCACAGTAAATACAATTATTTACTCACAAGATATTACAAAAGCAGCTCAATTTCAATATGACTACACCACCTTCTCATAAGAGACCACTTTTCTTTCTGGTGATCCTGCTATTTGTGGCAAAGCTGTGTATTGTGAGTAGGCTAAAACAATCAATTGTAGGCTGCACTAAAAACGTACTAAATATATGCTGTTTCCCCTACACGAATGGACGCTTTTGTTCCTGTATATAATCGTGGTAGCAGCCGAGCATCCTGCCAAAATCTGTGTCAGGCTGTTGCCCATCAGAGCCAAACATCCAGGCTGCCGTGGTTACTCAACGTTGCCGCACCTGCAGTGACGCGCTGCGGCCTGGACCGAAAAAAACAGAATACGGTGGTGATGCAACGGGTGTTTCTGTGAGCCGTTGGAAGCACACACAAAAAAACGATCGTTACTGTTTTTAACCGACAAAAAATAACAAATGTGAAATGTTCAAATGTTAATATTGGTGTGTAGGAGCAATTTCAATACGCCTTTCAATAAAAAAAAAAAAAAAAAAAAAAAAAAAACGCATTCTGGTCAGACGAGTACATTATTTAATTGATTTAAAAAAAAAAAAAACCTGCTGCAGACACGCCGTTGACCTTGCACACACCTACCAATGCTTGTCTCAGAGAGAGTCAGCCCGCTGGATTGGAGGCTCTGAGAGGGAGGCATGCTGGCTGGAGGATGTTTAAACGCAGTCCGCCCGGTGGTCCTCTTGCAAATTAAAGAGAACAACAATCACGACTCAGTGTTATATATTTGAGCCCTAATGGTGTACAGTCGTGAGCTAGCGCAGACGGTTGTGTTCGCTTGCTGTGGCATTATCTGGCAACAGCCCTTCCTCCTCCGTCCCCGCTGAGACCGAGTCTGTCTCATTTACATCCCCGCGGCTGTTGATATGTCTGTCGGTCTCTGTCCTCACGATGTGTCGGTGTCGGGCAGCGGGTCGCTGCTGCTGCTGCTGCTGCTGGTTGTATGTGCGCATGTCACACGTACTCAAAGAAGAAAGTAGTCTCACGGTCGTTACTTGTACTTGTTTCACAGCAGTGTAACGATACTTAACGTTAGCTAACATATCGATTACACCCCTGAAGTACGCGACCGTTACACCGACATGTTCGTTATTTTCCGTTACTAACCTGTCAGTAGGCGTAACTAAGCAACAGATCAAATGTTGTCGTTAGTTGATGTTCTCCTCCAACCGTCGTCTCTGTCGATATACAACATCCAATCTTTCACAGGAAAACAGATCTGGACATCCGCCATTTTAATATATATATAATATAATTTATATATATAATTAACTAAACTAACGTTAGCTAACTAGTGTTGAAACTTTACCGTTACAAGCTACAAGATGAGCGACGGCAAGCTGGTGTTAACTGACAGAAAATAGTTGTGGGAATTTTAAAAAAAAACATACTGGGCCGCTTCAGCATTGCTTTACATTTATATAAAATACGAGTACTAATAATAATAATAATAATAAATATTTAAATAAACGTCACCGAGAAAAGAAAGTAACGGTAACCTGTAATGGGTCACCTGAGGGTTTATCACTGACAGCAGGGGTTAATGGCTGCCTGCTTTATATCACACGTAGTCTAACACATCAGGTTTAGTGTGTTTGAACTAACTTCATGTTAGTGCTGTCAGTGTTTCTGATACAGCTGACTGTGTGTGGGTACTGGGAGACAACGTATAGTCCGGAGGAGTCAGGGTCGTGTTCAGGCCGAGCATCGAGCGCCACCGTCCGGTAGAAACACAACGGTACGTTCAAGAGCCGTCGGACAACCAGGGAGCAGCACTTCAATCATCATGTAATACACAGGCTGCCTTCATGTGCTGTACGTGTCGAAAAGTGTGCATTAATACACAATTCCTTCTTGGTTGTTTTTCCTTTATTTTTAAGATATGAAGGTGAGGGTACTACTTTATTTACAGCAGCAACAGTTTACAGGTGACAGGGCTGTAACTTTCTGTCTGTTTTTTAACTAAATAATAAGATTCAGTGTTTCCCATCTGGAACTTTTAAAAAGTGTTTGAAACATAAACATTTTAATGTTATTTATAATATCGGATGTAATATATTTAATTAGGCCTAATTGATGATATTATACTGAATAAATCAAAATAAGTTGTTTTACATATTTTGCAGACTTTTTGAGGGTGTTGCACAAACAGTTAAATACTTGTAAAAATGACCTCAGTGTTTATGAAATCCTGGCTACAGCTCAGCACACATAGGCACAAAAAGAAACTTTAACTTTCTTTAAAAAATTAAAAAAACAAAAACCTCTCTCTGCTGTTGTGGTGCACACAATGCTGCACACTGTAACATTTGATATAATTCAAAAGAGTTGAATGATAAACTCTTATGGAATTTGCAAATGTAAAGTGTTTTGTTGGGTGTACAGGATGGCTACTAGACTGACAATAGACCTTTTTCACAGCAGCCAGTTTGACATGAAATAGTAGGGTCAATACAAGTGTTATTAATGACACTAATTAAGGCCCTGTTCCATTCAGGTCAGAGTCAGGCTGCTGTTATTGAGCTTCACTGGAAAAGCTCTGCTACCTTAATCATTGCTAACACCTGTGTTTACCCTATTTCATGTCAAAACTGCTGCTGTGAAAAAGCACTGTGTACTAGGTAGTGAACATACTGTACTGCTCTTGAGCACTGGAACTTCCCAAACTGCTCCAAGTTTCAGGACTGGAGGAAAGTGTGTGGATGAACATGGAGTTAATTGGGGCTCAGCAGCTCATTTGTGCTCTGGAGCCCCATTGCTAATTAATCCGGTCATGGAGTTTGAGACTTGCACAAACACAGTATAACCACTTGTACAGAGAATAGGCACAGAGGACGCAACCGAGCCACTTAGATACAGGACAGCTGTCATTACTCTGCATGCACAGGTACATGCACTGCTCTCCATAGACTCTCTCTGGTGACCTTTGCTTCTCTGTAAATGCACTTATATGGTGAGAAGAGTCATTGGCTTTCACTGTAACATACACTGAGACATAAACACACACACACACAGACGCGCACACACGTTTTTTTGTTTTTTTTTGCCGCGCAAATCTCAAAGAACAGATTTTTTTCCATGACGCAATTTCTCTTTTCATGTAAAGGAAGAAGAAAAAGAAGAAGAAGGGGGGGGGTAAAAACCCTCCTAAAAGCCCCCCTCTCTCTCCCACTTCTTACATGGGGTACCAGAGCGTTACGTGACCGGAGTGCTGATGGGGTCAGAGATGAAGACTACTTGAACTTCACCAGAGGGGAGCTTCTGGTGAGCGGTTGTTCCTGCGACAGTCTGTGGAGGTTGCTGGCGTTGGAAACCGGGATTAGTATGCATGCATGTGCAGGGACAGTACCTGTTAGTGATAGATGATGTAATTATGGTGCTTTTTTTCGTTTCATGTTATTTATAAGGCCGATCAATTAATAAATAAATAAAAAGTTGAAAAGAAATGAATTGTTGGAGTGTGTGTGCACGTACAGTATGCAGCCGGGCAATGATTGACAGCAGTGTCTTGTGTTGGGGATAAGCTATAAATATTGTATTCATGCTTTGCTTTAGTCTTTAGCCCCAGCTTAGGAGACAATGGATGATAGTGTGCGTGTACAGAATGCAGTTCTCTGGTCCAGATCGCTGCCAAAACGTCCCTGGGACCAAAAAAAAAGCACTTTGTATCCCACCCCCAGTTTCCCTCTGTCCAGCGTTCATTCACTATGATGCGCGCCTAGTTGAAGGAGGTTCTCCATACCAGGTCTCCTTTGCGTGCCTAAAACTTTCAAATGAAATCCCCAAACACTTTTTGACAAACATTATTTTTTTTCTCTGGGGGTCAAGAGGGTTTTTTCGACACTTTAATCCGCATTTTTTTTACTGAAAAGAAAACTTCAGGTATGTCAGAACTTTAATTGATACTCTATTTGTAGAAATGAATTGTTTCTGTGATCTGTAGATTGAGTCATGAGTCGGATAGCTTGGCATTGTTGTGAAAAAAAAGTTTTTGTAAATGTTTGTGAACTTGTTGTAAAGAAGTGTCGCTTTAACTCACTGACATGGTAGATGTGATTGGTATAACAAGTACCTTTTTCTTTCTGTGAAGAACATGGAGCCCAGTTCCACAGAGGGAGGAGCTGAAGAGACGCTCCTTAAAAATCATCCACCAAGTCTTGTAAGTGCTGAAATTAAATAGAAAACATGTAACTTTATATATCACGTTGTTCCCTGAAGCAGATTTAGCAAATTAAGTAATCTTTTAGCCCTCAGTTCAGTTGTTTATAGGCACAAAACTCAAAGCTCACAACAGCATTTTTTAAACATTTAACAGCAGATTCTTTTAAAGGCCAGGCTCTCACAAATGAAATGACTTGTGTCCTGTGGTTCCTCTGGGATCTGTGTGTCCTGTCCCGTGGATGCTGAGAGTCAGTGAGTAACATCTGGCTGTCAGAGTGACCCTCCAGCTCTGCTGTCTGCAGCTGCTGCTCCAAGCAGGAGGGTCCACTCAGAGGAGGTCAGCTCTCCCAACGAGTGCCAGAAAGGTCACCAGCGGGTTTATAATTTGCAGAAACAGGGGACAGGACCAGCAGTGCGATGTTCATTAATATGCAGAGCACTCTCTGGCAGTTTATATCATCGGTCATACTCGGAGCAGAAGGCATGCCATTTTTTTTCCTGCAGTGATTTGAAAAGAAAATAGGTCGACTGCAGAACTTAGCAGTTGAGAATATGTGTGGTGAGGGCTTTTTCTCTTCTTCTGCTTTCCACCAGCCTCACAAAGTGATACTCAAACATGGCCAAGAGCTGGAGGAAGAGCAGGAGGAGTTGGCCGAGCACCAGCCTCTAGAGCAGGAAGACCTGAACTTTGAGAGATGGAAGCGCAGGCCGCTACCCAAGAGGACGCTCCACCAGAAGATAGACGACCTGAAGACATACCTGTGGAATGCAGAGACCAACGAATTCATGGGTCGCTCTGGAAAGAGCTGGAGTGAGTTGACCAAGAAAGACCAAGGTTCTGTGTTGTTGGGGGGGGTTTATGGGGAGGGACGTTTGGATTATTGCAAAATAACTTTATTTTTAACTGCATGTGTCCAATGATTACAGATATGTAGTAATGTTGAGTGTGTTACAGTCAGATCATCTTAAACGAGTTTAAGAGCAGACACGGTGTTTGAATGTCTTTAAAAGATGCACTCGGGGATTGTTTGGAGGGTGAGAAATGTCTCCGCAGTCCAGTGACTCTGCTCACTGTGCTGCGAGTGTGTGTGTGTCCTTATGCTCAATGTTTACATAGGTGCATGGATAATTCAGAGTGTCCCGACAAAAACAGACTGCCTGGGGACGTATCCCCAGCGGGAGCGCACTGTTCCGGGCCTCGCTATTGGCCAGGAATCACATTCCTCTACATCTTACCATGCTCTCCACAGCCTCTTTCCCAAAGCCTTGGCGACCTCATCGCTGAACTTAACATGCTTTATGGCCCCTCAGTTGCAGTTAAACACGTAGAGATGCTCTTGTCTTTTTTAATCCATACAGCTCACTGCCAAACTGAGAGCTTTGGTGCAGGCAAGGTTTTTTTGGCACAAGTGACAGGCTGGACGAGTTTCTTGAGTCAATGATGATGGAGCAGCCTATTGGTATTCCAGGGTAGTAACTATGTGACGCCGTTGAGCCCCCTCCTTCAGCTCCACCGCTGTACACAATTGCAAACATGATCCAACTGAGTGTAGAGAGAATATCCAAGCAAAAGTGTGTGTTACTTGCATAAGCTGAGAACGCTGGGTCCCAGGCAGAGCTGAGAGCTCATTTCAGCTACATAACCAGTGTGTGCACACTTGTGGAGGAGTGTGGGGCCCATGTGTCTGACGAAGAAAGACCCTGAGTTGAAGTCTGTGCTGTGTGTCCTGTGAGACGAGTGTGCAAGAGAGGACACAATACCAGAGTGGGGTGATTGGGGCTCCTTGGAGCTGGCCAGGCCTCTATGGCTGCAAAAGACCTTCACTACGATGGCAACCGGAGGTTCACTGTGTTCCTGAGTGAAAGGACAGCTGGGAGAATT